GTACAATAGAGAGAATGAAGATTTCAGGGGCATGAAAGTTACGCGCGAAGGGAAAAGCATGGCCCCACACAATGGTGGCAGCACCCAGTGATGGCACCCAGTGGTTGCACCCAGTGGTGGGCACCCAGTGGTGGCACCCAGTGGTTGCACCCAGTGATGGCACCCAGTGGTGGCACCCAGTGGTTGCACCCCTTACAGGGTGTGAAGAGAAGTGGGGGCACTGAGAGTCCGTGGGAGGCCCCCAGAAAGGAAGTTGCTAGCTACTTGCCTGTGTTGCGGAGGAGCGGCAACAGAGGGAGGATTGGCTGTGTTAGGAACACAAGAGGACTTGCCAAATCACATGCACGCATTGTGGGCCTCTACCAAACAGTGACCTTGGAAAGAAATTTGAAGGTTCAGGAAAGTGGCAAGATCCAAAACCAATAGCAGGCATGCGGATTCCCTGATTGAGTATTGGCAGTGGAGTTCTCGCAAAGTTTCCCATTTGACATACTTTGTCAGGGATACTTGTATACATTTCTATGCATACTCAGCAGGGGAAAAGGTTGAAGAAAAATATTTAAAAACAGGGGTGATGGAGCTGTTGAGCGACTTACAGCGAAGACAGCAAGGATAGCTGAAACAGGCCGGATGGAATAGTTCCACGGAAGTTGTTTTCATTGAGATTACTGGGCAACGGTAGAGTATGGTATCAACAGCATTAAAAGTTAGTAACCTAACATTTCCACGTAGAAGGCCAGAGCATGGGCAGACTTGCTACAGGATCCTCAACCCCGAGCCACTACCTTACTTGGCGATCCTTGTTCTCTTTTCATGTCCCGTCCGTTTAGGTCCCATAACGCATCCAGGGACAACCCTTTATTTTGCAAGCTGGTGCACTCACAACTGCTCACAACCTGATGCTGGACCGGGCAACGATGCTACTCACATGTTTTGCAGGCTGTAAAGGTTGGTCAATTTGTGGGGGATGGTACCGGTGAAACTGTTGTTGCTCAGTTCCCTGCCATTGCCATTCCGATTGCGAGTGCCAGATACGTTTTCAGTTATGGACGAAAGAGTGAGCGCAATAATTTGATGCAAATGGCATCATTTCTTCCACCATGAAAAACGCCAGTTTTTGTTTGAGGGGAGAAGCCAATGTTCTACTTACAGGCGTTGAAGGTTCGTGTGAGCAAAATTGAATGAGGGAAGGTTCCAGTGAAGTGGTTGTTATTTAAAAGTCTGAGGGTTAAGATACATGTGTGCTGGAGAGATGATGAAGCTCATTCATGCAGAAGAGGTGTCTGGAAAAAAGCACACCCATTCAGGTGCAGGCCACTGCCAACGTTTGAGAACAAGTGCGCACAAAACAACGGGTTAGTAAAGGTGTTCATGTGCCCTGCCCATCTAAGTAGGCATATAGGCTCCTGGCTGGGAGCGTATGGCATATACATGCTCCGTATATAGGCCATATGCCATACGCTCGTACATACGCTTTACACTCAACGGAAGCCTTCTTTGTTGTGTTTTTTTGCGCGACTAAATCGCCACTCGCTACCGATTTTGACACGCATGTTTGCCAACCCCAATTTGCCGAGCCGAGATAGGGCAAATAAACCCCCAAACTGAACACACCTTCAAATTTACAGCACCTTACTACATTGCACCGCACTACAAGTAGAAACTCCAACCACACATGGAATGTAAAGCTAGATCGACCAAACCTGGCTCACTACTTGGCCACATTAAGTCGACCTTAAGATATTCACCTGTTACTCTATCGATCAGCCCCTTGCGCCCAGTATATTCCCCGTTCAAGAAGTCCTTTTTTTATTATCGATTGTACGGCGGAACCACCTTCTAATGCAGCCACCGACACTAGCAACGCGCAATCCTTCAATGTCTCGTCGAATGCCAGCCGAGCCCACAAGGAGGCAGACCATCATGTGGATATATATATATGCATAATTACAATGGAGAAAAAGGGAGGTGAACTAGTTCTATAAGGGGCCCCAACCCAACACTATTCAGGCACACTTAAAAAACGGGTAGTTAGAACCGTAGCCATTGTTGCATTCCACCAGGTAGGTACGAAGGGGTTGTTAATATGACGAGGTGAGGGGTGGATGGAGCAGACTCACAGAGATGCGAGGCCCTTGATGGCTGTTAAGGACGCTGGAAGCACACCGGATATGTTGTTGTTATCGAGGAGTCTGCACATCCAGGGTTCAGGAAAGTGTCTCAGGTGTTGCAGGGAGCCAAAGTGGACGATGGGAAGTGAGGGAAAGTTACACAAGAGTCAAACGGAGTCTGCTGAGGTGGCGAAGAGGGAATAACACTCACATGTTTGCGAGCCATGTCATCTGAGCCACCACGTGAAGGCCTGAGGTGAGACTGTTGAAACCAATGTCTCTGTCATGTCAAGCAGAGCAGACACACAAATCAGAGGCAACTAGCACTAGCATGGGTGAAGCAGGTGGTGCGACCGGCTCGTGGGGGGAAACAGGGGGTGTGGGGGGTGCGGAGGGGGGGGTGTGGGGGGGGGGGGGGGGGGGTGTAAAAGGGGGGAAGGGTGCCACTAGTTGAGTTTTACTCGACTCGGGACAAGTAAAAGAGACTCAGGCCAAGTAAAACAACCCATCCATAGTCGAGTGATGAGTCAGGCACGAGTGAAAACCCGTCTGAGTAAAAACTAGACTCGACTCGACAAACTCGATCGAGTCAATGAAAAACAAGACGAGTTTTACTTGACTCATGCTCGTGTACACCTTGGAAAGGCGAATCTCGTTATGACAGCAGTACACAGCAGACTGGAAGAGGTACGTAGCGTGGGAAGAGACATACAGAGTTCTCATGCCAGTGAGCCTAGTGAAGGTGTTGGGGATGCCTCCTGTGAACAATTGTCAGATAATTGACTGCAGCCAGGACATCCCAAACGAAACATTGCACAGAGCAGCGGAATGAAAGGGACTGGGGCATGAATTAAAAGATGGAGCTAGGCAGAGAGTGCAGGTCAGAGGGGAGCTAAGGGATGAACAGGAATGGAGGTCCAATGACGAGTGTGAACAGAATGTGCCAACATGGAGTATCTCACAGCTCAACGAGGTTGGGCAGTGCCAAGTGTGGTGGAATGGGTCCACCGAAGGTATTGTGGTCCAGGTATCTGGATAGGCAGGTAGACAGGAGAGGCAGTGACTGATTTCAACGTTCACTGCCCGGTTCAAGGGGGGAAAGTAGACATGAGCAAGAACCGAACCTCAACATCCAGTTCGACTCTAACCAGTTCGGCTTGATTGAACGTATCAACCAATTAGAGTCGGTTTGAGTCGAACCTGGTCCAGTTCAGTACTTGCTCATGTCTACTCCTTCATTTTCCCCCCTCCCCTCCTCCCCCTCCGAACTGGTAAAACCAACCTTAATGCCACAACATATCCTCCCCCGCAAGTCTCAAATCCGCCTGTAAGGATTCATGATCTTGTGTCCAGCTGCTAAACATAGAAATCCAGCTCTCAATTGCCTAGAGACATAGCTCAATAGCTTAGCAAAGTGTAGAATATTCGGCATATTCTGGCGACAATGCATTTCTGCTTATTCACAAGCCCCCCCCATCCTCCTCCCCCACTATCCCCTGTCCCCATCTCCCCCCCTCCTCCCCCCAGTATACTTTGCATGCCCCAAGTTTTCCTTGCCTGCCCGCCTGACCATTTTCATAGCATACACAGTTTCTGGAATTCAGCATCCAGCGTTGGCACCCAAGATACTGGACACGTCAACATAGACTAAGGACACAAAGGTTCAACCAAGCCAACATAGAAGATGGTTCAACAGGGAATGCACGATGGGAAGAGAAGCACAGGCCGCGTGCTGACTCATGTAAATGTTGAGAAAGAAGAGGCTGGTATTGGGGCTTGGCTTGGAAAAGTGGAGCAGGAGCGGAGCGAAGAATGGCATACAGCGTTTGGACGTCGGTGCCGAATACTGGGGGTATAGAACCAGAAAGAGAATTCCACGAAAGGTCTCTGCAATGGAGGGGGGTAGAACAAATGAACCATGGTACAGTGAGTGAGAAGACACAGGGAGTAATCAAAGACAAAATGGGGGTCCGACAATGGAAGGGGGCAGGACGCAGGAATCTTACACTGAAACGAGGGCCGTTAGGGCTGAGTATGTTGCGGGAATGGATCCTCGGAGGTGGTTAGTACTTAGATATCTGGGATGAGAACGAAACAAGACATGCTTGCCAGTTACAGAATAAACATTGGCATGGGGCAACGCACATGGGGTTCATGCTGCTGCCAGCAACATGGTAGTGGGGAAGCATGACACCATGGTACAAATGCTGCATGGTAGCATGGCAGCATGGCAGGAAGGTATGGCAAGCAGTGACTCACAGCTCTTGCAGATTGACCAGAGTGGACCAGCTCTTTGGCAGGTGGCCCTCCAGGTTTGTTTCCACTGAAGGACCTGCAGAGCATGGGAGCAGGCAACAGGTGGACGCATGAGTTGTTCACTTGTGGGGATGTACCTTTCTTGCGCCACGGAGACGCCGATACAACACACATACAATAGAGAACTTGAGATGGTGCATGTAAGGGTGTGTTCATCCATATCGCTTTTAAAGAGGCACACCCGCACATGTCATCTGCGTTTCCAACACCAAACTAGCAGTAAGTACTAACCACAAACGAGGTAGACATGATGCAAACTACAATAGAGTATACTCACCTAGTTAAGAGATTAGTACGAGCATGCATGCTCGCTGCACCCCCATACCTGCGCACGCTGAGCTCACAGGCTGGTGAGTGCGGTGAGCTCAGACATGTCTTCCAGCACCACCCCCTGCCGGCGTGGATCATCCGTCTCCACGCTCCTGCCAAGCGAACAAAGGAAGGCTGTTGAGAGAGTATCCCACTGAGCTTCTCACAGCAATGGCACGTGTCGTTCTCGTGCCTCCCGGAGAATGTGAGTGACGAATTGAAACGGGGCAGTATGAGAGTGGAGCAGGAGGAGGTGATGCTCACAGGTACTGAAGGTTGGAGAGATGAGTGACCCACTCGGGAAACTCCAAGGCACGAAGGAAAGATAAGTCTCTGCAGGGAAGAAGGCATGAGCATGTTGCACAGACAAGCGGATAGCTTCTGCCATGTTGGGCGAGAGAATACAAAAGCTGTAACCGTGCGCATGAACAAACTTGCTTCATCTGTCCCATCCTGGATGTTTTGTCCACCTTACAGTGAAGTGAGGGCAGTCAAATATCGGATCTCCCTGGGTATCTCCCCTGTGGCATTGGTGAGCGAAGTGAGTGTCCTGCATTCATGCACATGCAATCAGCAAAAGTGAATCCAGTGCCGCTTGCAGCTTGGTATTGACCACCACCATAACACACTCTATTATGAGAATCAGGACATAAACATTATGCGACACCGTAATGGTTCTTGCAGCTAGACATAGGCATAATCCCGAACCTCACTTCGTTTCGATCCAATCGGTACCAGCCAAAATTGTTCGACACGAACCGACTGCAGTTCGAGTCAAACTGTTTGGTTCGGCCTGGAAGCGCATTGAACTGGCGTTGAACCTCTAGTGTGGCTCGCAATAGCCAGCATATTGTTTGTGTTTATTGTTGCTTCAACTCCTTACAACTTCCCTAGTAGATCTACTCCATGGCTGCCATACAACCATTTTACGGCCATATGACAGCGATTCTAAAGTGAATATGCACTTCTTTGGTGTGTGTACTTGCTAGTATTAGACTAAGGACACTTGGAGTACCAAAGCTTTGCCTTCTTAAATCTTGCGTTTCAACCCTCATTGCTAAACACTAGCGATTTCAACATATTGCGATCGCAGCCAAAATTATAATTGTGATTGCACGCGACTTCGCGGCTTTTACCCCCAAAAAGCAACTGATCTCACCGTTCCTATCTTAAAGACCCAACCCAATTTACAGCCAAGATTTACCATCCCACCTCAATTCACACCCTTTACCATCAAGAAAACCCAACCAGCCTAGCCTTCTTACTTAAAAAGCCTAACCACCAGCCATTTTTCTCCAAGTTCCAACCCACGCCACAGCCACAATTTGCACAATAGTTGAAAGGAAACTTGGATCAACTGATTTTACTCATTCTTGCCCGTATTGATTTGTCCTATTAAAGTACCATTTTTGTGAATCCTATATAGCTCTTGCCATTTCCGTTTTCAGTGCTCAGGTGGAGTGGAGTAGAAGTTACCCTAGATCCCCTGCCCAAAAAAAAAGTGGTTGCTTACTTGGAAGAGCGTTTTCTAAGCGTTCATCCTAGCCACAAGAGAGCATTAAATGTTTCATCGCTTCAAATGCTAGTATAAAAAAACACAAATAACGTTCATGATCATTTGAAGATTAGATCACTCGCGTGCCACAACAACGCAATAAAGAAAGCTGCTGCTGAACCAAACATCACCCGCTTTAGTCAAAACTACAAACAGCTTGACCCGACGAACCAGAAGAAGCCTGACCACCAAAGCTGGACGTTGAACATCTGCTGCCCCAAATTCAGTTCGTCTCCAAATGGAACCACTACGTTTTGGCAAACTGAGTGGTTCGAGTCGGTTCGACTCGAAGCACTTCGAGTTTGATTGTTGCTCGTGTCTACTTACAGCTGTTGAAGGTTTCTCATGTGAGAAAGAATGTGCAGGGAGGACAATTCCCCTGTGAATGCCTCCAAGTATTCCAGACTCCTGGTGGTGGGAGGACAGCGAGGCATGCAAGAAGGCATGGGGGAATAGGTAAGCCTGTAAAGGAATATTCGGTATTCGAGAAATATTTGATATTCGTTCAAATACCTGTATTCGAGAAAATAGGAAACGACTGTATTCGAAAGTATTCGCATCACGAGTATTCGTTACTGTAGAATATTCGGGTAACGGATATTCGGGGTAATCGTTTCTATTCGGTATTCTACCATTAACCCCCCCTCATACCTTCCCTACATGCGGCTATCATCTTCGGCAGTCTGTGTCTATGATGAGAAAGACGCTCAGGCGGGGTAGCGTCCCGGGTCCAGACGCTCGCGTTCGGACGCAGGACGCAGCCGGAGACGCTGGACGCTCCGCCGAATTTTTTTCGGGCTGACCGAAAAAAAATCGTGAAAAACTGACATTCGCGATTTAGATGCGTTTGTTCATTTCGCGAAATCTGCACCCCCCCAAATCGAAATCGAAGGCCCCCAACGCTAGAGGGTTTCCATAATTTTCCTTCATAAGCCCTAGGGTACGTTCCTGGCTCGTGTCATACTTCCGGTCTTCCGGGGATGACACAAAGCTGCCCCACAGTTGGCCCCACTGTGGGTCATCCGAGACCCACTTCGGATCTTCCGGCTAAAATTTGCCCCTGGTCTCGGAAAACACCAAGTTTGACCAGAAGCTTGACACGAGCCAGGAACGTACCCCTAGAGAGTTTCCAGAATACTCCTTCGTAAACCCTGCAGGGTTTCAAGAATTCTTCTTCATAAACCATACAGGGTTTTTACGAAAAAATGACATTACGAGGGCATTTAGAATTCCCATTGTTTGCTATGTCCCCAACCCCTGTCCTTCGGTCCCCTGTAACTTATTATTGCCTGCCCAGAAGGTTTTTTTAGCCTGCCCGCCCCAGCGTCTTTTTAGTGTCCTCTAGGCGGCTGGGTGTGCGTCCAGCGTTCGGACGCTAGCGTCCAGGACACTGGACACGTCCTTCTCATCATAGGTCTGTGTACAAGTGGCCTTGTGAGAGCCGTGCCCAAAACTCAAGCAAGATAGTTACTGGAGAGGGGTTACGGAAAGCGTGTGGTGCGGGATTGAGACGTGGAGAGACATGCATTAGCCGTTCGACACAGCCTAAATATTTTTGTTTATTAGACACTTAATCGTATTCGATTTGGATTCGGCAGTATTTGAATCGTATTCGTATTTGGTTTTGGGTCAGTACTCGAATCGTATTCGTATTCGGTTTTAAGTCAGTACTCGGTCAAATAAGACACCACACAATTCAGAAAAAAAACAAAAATCGTATTCGTTTTGGCTTAGGTAGGCATGAACATTTGGCCCGACCCGACCCGACGACCCGATTTGGGCAGGCTAGGCGGGTACCGGGTCGGGTCGGGTTGGGTCTCACTGGGCTGGAGACTCCAAAACCCTGGCCCGACCCGGCCTTGCGGGGTCGGGTCAGGCCTGACCGCCCCCAGGTCGGGTTGACCCAGGGGCGGGTCGGGTACTGAAACCCTCTTTCCCTTGCACGCTGCGCAGATTGGTGATTTGATCGGCAGTTTAGCCAATCGATCTGACTTTGCCACTAACTGCATGAGGAAGGCCAAGGACCCCCCCCCTCCCCTTCAAATTTGATGAAACGAAAATATCCAACCAATTCGCCACCGCACTCAATCTACAAGACCCAACCTCCTGATTCACTTTTACATATTTCGACATTGAGCCAGGCCCAACATTAGTGCTATCGTTCAGCCTAATAATACCCTCCATGTCCATTTTGACAGCTAGTTAGTTTAGCTCCGAATAGGCGGGCCGACCCAATTCCTACATATATTACCCGATTCAGGGGGGGGTCAATATCAGGTCAGAACCTAAGTGGAGAAACGCAGGACAAATGCAGGACGCATGTTTGGGGTCCGTGAGACGCTTAAAAATATGCATGGCCGGGCAGGGTAAAACAAACGTACGGGCAGGCAAAAACAACATACAGGGGACCGTGGGGGAGGGGGGAGAGGACATAACTACACATAAACAAGATTTTCCCCCACAGAATATTTTTCGGGTATAGGGTTTACGAAGGAAAATTCTAAGGAATTGGTTGGAGTTTCTAGATGCTGTGCGGTTGTGTTAGTTTGGCTTCAATTTTGGTTGGGGGGTTGGGAATTTTGGTTGAGGGGTTGGTTTTATGGGTCGATTTGGGTTGGGAGGGGTCAATTTTGGCGAAATTGACAGTCGCGACGAAATTGCGAATGTCAATTTCGCGCGCTGGATATTTGTTTTGGGGCTGCCCGGAAAAAAAAATACCCAAGCGTTTTGCGTTTTTTTTAGAGTTCTGAGTTTTTTGCGTTTTACTGCACTGAGGTATAGGATAGGAGTATGGGCCGTCTGTAAGGGTTGGAGCAACGTGGCATTCAGGGCATGTAGTGTTTGCAGGGCGTACAATGTTTGCAGGTTGGTGAGGGATGAGAGCCAGGCCAGTCCGTCCAAACTGCCAGTCAGCCTGCTGCCCGCCACTCCTATAGCTCTGAGTACAAGGAGCAATGCCAGGCAAAGAAGTAGTGAAATGCGAGGGGGCAGGGAAACATGTCAGGGCCAACAATTGATGAGTGGGGCAAAATCAGGGACAGAAGATTCTCAAGTATGTAGTGAAGTGGGGAAGGTCGAGAGGTCATTGTTAGCGATAGGCTACAATCTCACACTTTGTACTTGAACTGGAAGAGTGTCGTTCTGGTCATTGTGTGTTGGTTTGGGGATGAGCATGGCCGGGACCCGGGCCTGCTGGGTGTTGGCCTGCTGCTCGTACAAATGTGACGGATGTAGGCCGACCCGCCCAGATCATGCGTACTAATATTGGGGGCATTTCCTCCACCGTTGGGCTTGCTGCACTCCCATCACAGGGGCGCCCTCTCACTCTCTCCCGCCCTTACCTTGTGGTTGGTTCTTCCTCACCCTTCCTCCATTGCTGACCCCCCATTACAGGGGCGGCCTCTCCCTCTCCCCTCATCCCGTTTATCTTGGGGCCGGAACCTTTTCTTCCCCTTCTTCCTTCGTTTTCCCCATCCTTGTACACCAATTTTCCTAATCCCTCTCTCGTTCACTCCTTCTATCTATCTTCCCTTTCCTCTATCCCCTCCTACGGCGACCCCCTCCTGCATCTGCACGGTCGCTTTTGTTGCAGTTAGCTCTCAATCTCACACTATGTATTTGTACTTTCCATATCCTAGCGTAGTGTTATATGCACTTTGTGTTTGGTTGGGTGTACACCTACATCCCAACCAAACCCAAATGTGATCTCCAAGTAATCTCCAACCCACCAATTGGAGATTGCCTTGGGATTACCCCCAATCCTTAGAGATTGCCTTCGATTCCCTTCAGAACTTTTCCTTGCCCATCCTGGATGTACTTCAAGAGCTTCGAGCTCATTACTAATGTATGGATTCTAAGCTCAAGTTCTGACAGCTTTGTCCTCAACCTCGTGTTAGTCTTAAAACGTACTAAAGTAGCTAGTAACGACCTTTAGGTGCACTAGAACTCTCTCCACGGGGTCACCTCCGAGGGTCCTTGGGTGCCTGACCGAGGTCAGCCCCTATCCAAGGGTCCGAGTGTGTAGAGAGAGAGTCGGAGCAACAGCTAAAGTGTAGTAGCAATCGTCCCTTCCTTGGCGTTGTCAAGAGAATAAACTATGGCAGCGTACTTGCAGCAGGCACAGGAGAAATCCTTTACTAAAGTTATCTTTGAACAAAGCAAGTACAACCATTTTAAACTGAACCTACTGCGATCTATTCTAGCATTTTCTGTTTCTACAGTTTGTGACTTCCTTCGTCGTAGCGCGCACATTTTTCAAAACTCCCGCCGCTTCATTTTGTGGTCTGGCGGGTTCACGTCTCTTCGCCAAAATATTTCGAACTTCCCGTGCGAACAGCTTCAACGGTGCCAATTCGTAAAATATGCTTGGCGCCCTTTTCCGAACAGTTCAGATTGATTCCGTTCTAAGTGAGCGAAGTCAGCTTGTTCAGAACCTGTTAAAAAACCTGTTCGGAACCTGTTCGTAACCTGTTCAGAACCTGTTCGTAACCTGTTCGTAACCCGTTCGGAACCTGTTCGGAACCTGTTCGTAACCTAACCTGTTCGTAACCTGTTCGCGACGCGTGTTCAGAAAGAGTGCGAACATTATCCAATCAGCATAGTCCGTGTCCGTCAGTTCGAGCAGCAGCAAACTCGCAGCGCGGAATTGGGAATTCCGCGCTGTGACTGGTCGATACAAAACTGTTGAGTCAAAACGAGTCTGTGAACTGCTTCGCCGCTCCCCATTGGTCGAAGCTCAAAATCCCTTGATCGCTCGATAATAAACGACTCGCCCCACAGCTTGATATACAGAAAGTTATTTCTGTAATCAACACCTCGTGTCAACTACTTCTGCATTTCACGGCCCTGTGTCAGAATTATGCTGTTATAACTGCATGTAGGTCTAGCGTTAGTGTAGTATCTTGATATCCTGCTTGGTGGTGTACCCCCCCCCCTTGTCCTGCCCTATATGTTGTGAGCCTCTCCATAGTGAAATCATTCCTTCTCATTTTCTCGACTCTCGCCTCCTTGGCTCCAACCATCTCGACCTCCTTTGGCCTAGGCTACTAAGCCTAGGCCCAATCAACCTAACCAATCTTGCTACTATTTCAACATGGTATTCAGAGCAGGAACCTTCCTGCTGCCTTCCTTAACGGGCCCACCATTTTGCTTCCGCTACATGTCGTCCTGCCGCGCGCCTAGGGCGCGCGGCGATTTTCTGCCCGCCGTGCGCCCCGGGCGCGCGGCATCTACCTGCCTGCCTGCCTGCCTGCCTGTCCGTCGTGCGCCCCGTGGCGCGCGACGGTGCCCTGATCCGCCGCGGACCCGCCCCTGGCGCCCGCGACGGTGCCTTGCGCCGCCGCGGACCCGTCTCTGGCGCCCGCGACGGTGCCCTGAGCCGCCGCGGACCCGCCCTTGGCGCCCGCGACGGTGCCTTGCGCCGCCGCGGACTTGCCCCTGGCGCCCGTGACGGTGGCCTGAGCCACCGCGGACCCGCCCCTGGCGCCCGCGACGGTGCCCTGGGCCGCTGCGGATCCGCCCCTGGCGCCCGCGACGGCGCCTCTGCTTCACCTCGCGTCTGCCTTCGAGCAGCCGCCCCAGCCTCACATGCGCCTGCACTCGGTGCAGCCGCCCCTACCCTACCCGCGCCTGCCCTACTCAAGATTCTTGACCAGAATTAGGTTAGATCACCTATTTCCTCTTCCTACGGCGCTAGATCGTCGTTCCTCTCCTATCACCCCTTACCTCTCTCCTTACCACCTCCCCCTTTTTAGCCTATTTTTAGCTGCCCGAATATATTTTTTGCTGCCCTCCAGGGCCTCAAAACTGGGTCAAAAGTTTCAGGATTGTGTGTCAAGTGTCCAGATGCAAGCGTTTTGACGCTAGCGTCAAGTCGCTCGACTCGTCAATTCCAACATAGCTGGATGGTGCCTCTCCTACCTCTGCTCAGCTTCCACCCCGTCAGGCGATATACCAGTTCAGGGGGTGCTGCTTGCACCCGTGTCTTGCTGCAGGCAATTTAGAAGGTGTGGAATATATGTATCCCATTGTACATATTGCCTTTATTCAGCAGCGATTTCTGTGTAGATCATCTCCTCTCATTGTTGGTGGGTGGTGCACCACATTTGCCTACCCTTTCTTGTATATCTTGAGCTCTTGCCCTTTTTAGTGTAGTTTTCTTTCTTCCCAGGCTTTGAAGGTCCTCTTCACTTCAACAGATGAGGCACGTACAGGTGGGTGAGGCGGGTGAGAGTAGCGAGGGATGGAATGGACCCCACCAGGTCAATGTAGGTCAGATCGCTGTGGGGATGAGAGGCGAGGAAACAACAGTGGAGAAGGCAGCGGAACCATGGAAGGCAGCATGATGCGAGTGGGGCAGGGCCGGGAATATGTGTGAGTGAAGCATGGCAGTGAGTAAAATAACAGGAGAAAGCACGTGTTGGGCATGGCAAGCGAAGGACAGATGTGGTGGAGGCGTGATCCGCTGTATGCGTGGTGGATGCGCACTACGCTGCAAGCGCGCTGTGCTCTAAGCACACTGCGCTTGCATCCATCCAACATGGATGTAGTGGAGCGAGGAGGGCTGACGCACAGGTATTGCAGAGTGGCAAGATTAGTGATGGATGCAGGTATGGCGCCACTGGGGGGAGGATCCACTTCAGATAATTGCTTTGCATCCCTGCCAACACACACACACGCAGGCACGCAATGCCAGTGCTCCCATCCCTCCCTCACATCCCAACCCCACCCACTTCCCTGCCCCAGTATCCAGTCCAGACCAGTCCTCCCCATGCCACCCACCACCCCATCTCCACTTGTGACCCATCCCCCTCCTCGTTCAGATTTCGACTCGGTTAATCCCCACCCCCCCCACCCCCCCACACATGCACAACATCCAGCCACTCGGGATTAGTACACGATGATTGCACGTGTGCAGCCAATGGAAGGGTGAAACAGTGATGAGCCATGAGGGCGACGTGAGCACAGACGGGCACTGAGGAGCAACAGTCAAAGTGTCCATGGCAACGAGGACAAACGGCGACAACTAGGGTAATGGGGGGTGATCAGAGCACCGAGCTACAATTCAGGCCAACAAGGGCAGTGAGTGACGGGCAACGAGACTTACAGGGCAACGACGAGCCCGTTGGGGCTGCAGGTGACGCCAGTCCACGCAGAGCACGCCGTGGTGGCGTTATTGTTGCCCGCCCACGCGCCCCACGCCTCCTGCAGCTGCACCAGCGCGCCCACTGTCGGCAGGACGGGGAAAAATAGGATATTCACGTAATGGCTGCGTCTTCATTCCCGGCACATGTGCTCAGCATGACTTGAAAGTTGAGCTGGAAGGGCGGTTCAGGACCTGCCGCCCCTGCGCGCGTGCAAGTCTCGGTCTTCGTGAGAAACTGTCCTTTCTGCGCATGTTGTCGCGATCTCGATGGTTGGCCATTCGCCAGATCGACGTACCATGTTTATTGGGCCCGTTAGTTGTGATGCGACATGTCGTTTAGCGTATTTATGATGCGAGTGACCCCCAGCCCTATTCGTGACAATTTGTGTTAATACGGACTCTCGGAACACACATGCGCGGAGGATTGAACTTGTACGGAATGTATCATGAAAAACCCCATCCAAGCTTGCTGGTAACTCTGTGCGTGGTTGGTGGTATGAGTGGTTGTAACTTTACCGACAATGTAGCCTCGCACACACTGCCAGCGCTCGTTATGCAAAGCATAGACATCATCGCAACATTCCCCACTGTACATTGTTGAGACTGTATCTGTTCGTAGGTTCCGCAGGCATGGTGCGGTGTAGATCGACCGAATATTATGTAAGGCGTTCATCCATCGTAATCCACCCAGACACCAAACAAGGGCACGAAAGTCCCCACTCCACAGCTTGGTTCGCCACCCCCCTCGACAAATGTTTTGGGATGTTGGAAGTGGCACTGTGATGAACGACAACCGACAGGACGACAACCATCTTCCTGCAAGCTCATCGACTGCACGACAACCGACTCACATTGCGAGCCTTCCAACACGACGGGCCTTGCAGCGCTTGCGCCGGTCGATTTCGAGCCGGCCGCGGCGGCGCCTGGGGCGGTGTTGAGCTTTAAAAGCGAGCGACGAGCGCGGGTGGGTCGAGCGAGGCGAGACAGGCCACGCAGGTGTTGGGACAGACGCTGGGCATCTCGGCGCGGCAGCGGGCGATTGGCGGTGGGAAGGGAGCAAGCAGCGCCTGCGCCGGCAATGAACGAAAGGACCGCGAAAAGGAGAAGGCGAGCCGCGACATTTGCAGACGGAGGCCTCGCGGCAGGGCCACAGGAACGAGTTTTAGGCGGCGTGGAAATGCGCATGGTTAGAGTGCCTCTGAGAAGGGATACCAGATACCAAGCTCTGAGATGTGAATGATGGGAATGATACCGTGTGCAATCAGAATACTCGCAGACAACAAATGAAAGTGGAATCGAGGGGAAACGTATGTCGGATGCAAACAAACGAATCAAAACAGCGTGGCGTTTTTAGTTGGCTGGGGGTGACGAAGGTAGTTGGAGAGTCGGTGGGAAGGGTGGGGTGGAGCGGGGACGTGGCGAGGGGCGATAGATCCACCACACGAATATGTACGGTGCTGCCCTGCAACGGGCAGAAAAGTGCGACTCGGAGAGTCATCACCAGGAAAGCAACACCGATTTTTTTTCTAGACACGGGACGGGACGTGGTGTGCAGTACTTGAAAATATCATTTGCCAACCAGTGTCAGTTGGCAGTCGACCCACACAAGCAACCCTGGATTGGTTATTTCTTACCAAGCAGTACAGCACAGCGAGTTTGTATGAATCTTCCAGTCACGACAGTGCTAAGCTGGACAGATGGTCGAGTTGGCATTCCATCCTCATAATCCACTATTACACAAAACTCAAGAGTCAGTTAAGACAGTTGATAGAATTGTATGTTTAAAGTTATTTCATCCAGCCACATAACACTACATCATTCATATAAAAAAACGATTTCTATTGGCAATAGCAATCCTCCACTATATAAGTAATCATTTTTTAGCTCTAAACGATCATTCGAGATTGTTCAATCATTATAATTTTTTTTTTGTTGCAGTTTATGTTACTGTTGTTGCTGTTGTTTGTTTGTTTTTGTTTTTTTTTTTCAATCTGATACACCACCTCAAGATTTGACCATATCAACTCAGACGTGATATGTTTTCGAGTATTCTAACATACTTTGGGATGCTGTTGGAACTATGAGAGAACTTCCAAGCATAGATTGAGGGCAGTTCATGTCAAAACATATTTCTATGTTCTTAGTTTTGCTATGCTACAGTGGGGTGGTCAGTATAGAGTACAACCCCAATTAGGGTTTCATACTTATATCTCCCTGTTGCTAGTCATTCATCATTCATGCACAGTTCTCGCGACATGGTTTCAGAGCAAAAACACGGTTATTTTTTTTTTTGGGCCCACCAAAACGACCCGCTCGAACATGCCCGGAACGCCTTTGCCCTGCCCTGCACTGCCCGTTCGGCGTCGCGCTGCCTGCCCTAGCGCGCTGCCTGCCTGCGAGCGCCCCCTACCCGCACGCGATGCTGCCAACTGTTAGAAACTAAAACGAGAAAGAATGCATTGAACAGAAGTTGGGTACAAGTGCTAACCCTAATTGGGTTGTACCCCTTATGGGCTACCCCACTATAGCCTACACAAAGTAAGCTCTATAACATTCTGACACACCCCCATAGGCAAAGTGGGGGAGAACAAGTGGTCACAAGACCAGTCAAGAAAAGCAAAGCAAGCTCGGGGTGGATCACGAAGTCACCACACATTCCGAGTGAAAGTAAAGGGCCACAACGCCAGTTCACATGCAGTGTTATATAAAAGAGAACAAACAGTACCGTGATCAAAACTTAGCAAGAGTAAGCATGCAGGAATATATACAGATCACAGTACAATAGAGTCTCGCAATGAGCAGGTGAGATAAAGTAGGCACAAGACCTAAGACAGTAGAGAAACGCTGATGATCACCAGACTGCAGTGCCTTGGTGAATATATCAACAGTGTTGGCCCGAGTGGCCACGTACGCAAGACAGAGCTGACCACGCTGCTGCAACTCTTGAGCAAGGAAGTACCGCAGAGCGATGTGCTTAGTTCTGTGCTCGAGTCTGTGCTCCTGACACAAGGCAATCATGGCCTTGTTGTCTACGTACAGAACTGGAGGAGAACGAGGCCGCTCTCTCAGGTCGGCCAGCAGGTAGGTGAGCCAGCGTAACTCCTGTGCAGCGATGGCCCCTGCGTAGATCTCAGCCTCACAACTGGAGCTGAGAACCGAGGACGAGCGGGTAGACCGCCAGGAAACAGAGCAGGAACCAAGGCTGAAGGTGTAACCCTGTGACGACTGCTGCGTAGCCAAGTTGTCAACCCAAGAAGCGTCTGCGTGTCCACTGAGGACAACTGGACCCCGTCCTCAAAGCACGAGCCCCATGCCCGAAGTACTGCACAAGTAGCGCAACACCCTCTTAGCGGCCTCCGAGTGCTCTGGTCGGTGTCTCCCGGGCGCAACGTAGCGTGCCAGGATGCTAAGAGGGTAGGCAAGGTTAGGTCGAGTGCAAGTCATCAGGTACATGAGGCAGCCCACAAGCTCTGGATACAGGCCACTCGGCTCTACGGACTCGTCCGAAGGTGGAGCTGAGAGCGAGTGACCGGTAGGCAGAGGAGTGGACTGTGGCGAGGAGTACCAGGAGCCGAAGCGCTGAAGGACCTGGTGCACCATGTGTGACTGAGTCAGGGTGATGGTGCCCTGTGCTCTGTCCCGGGTGATCTGCAAGCCAAGATAGCTGCGCAGCTCACCCAGGATAGTGCAGGTGTGTCTCTTCTGCAGCTCCGACTTCACAAGGGCCAGTGCCTTAGTGTCAGCAGTGGCAAAGACCAAGTCGTCGACGTACACGAGGACGTAGAACGCGGTCAGCAAAGTTTCGGTGCGTAGAAACAGTGACGAGTCAGCAGTCCACGGAGCAAACCCAAGAGCCGCAAGTGTAGCCCTCAGTGTGTCGTGCCATTCGCGAGGCGCCTGGCGGAGACCGTAGACTGGCCGCCGGAGGCTCCACTGGGTACCTGCAGGAAACGACCCAGTGAAGCCAGATGGGCGGCGCAGCCAGATCTCCTCGTGCACGCTGCCCTGAAAGAAAGATGTGCTGAAGTCAAGAGAGTGCAGCTCGTAGTCACGCTGGGCTGCGACGTGCAGCAACACCCTAAGTGTGGTCATCTTCGGGGTAGGGGAGAAGGTCTGGAAGAAGTCAACTCCCTATCGCTGACTGAAGCCTCGTGCAACATAACGAGCCTTGAAGGCAGGCGGAGAACCCGCCGGCTTCTTCACCCTGAAAATCCACAAGCCATCGACTATGTTCGCCCTAGAAGGGGGAACTGCGTCGACGCAGGTGCCTGTGGACTTCAAGGATGCCATCTCTGCGTCCAAGGCTGTCTGCCAACGAGAGGAGTAGGGACCCGTAATCGCCTCTGCGTAAGAGCACGAGGTCGGGATGTCTGGTGCATCCGGGTCTCCCTCAAGGGCAAGCAGCATGGCCACGAGATGAGGTACAGCAGCTGCAAGACACTCAAAGTCCTCCTGCGTGTCCTCAAGGACGTCCGTGCCAAGAGCACACTCACCCCCGACGGACGGAGGACTGTCAGACTCAGACTCCGCAACAAGACTAGTGGCGTAGTGAATACGATAAGCAGCAGCAAAGTCAACAAGCTCAGCAACTAGGGCAGACGCAGCAGTGGACTCAAAAGAAGGGTCAGTGACAACAGTGACGAGGAGACGAGAGACAGTGGGACTGGCAGCACGAGCTAGGTCAGACGCAGGGTCAGGAACGGCAGGAAGAGAGGAATCAGGAGGAGGCGGCAGAGGAACTCACAGTGGAACAGAGGAAGGACGAAGTGCCATAACGTGAGTGCCGGGAACAGGAGGAGGACGTGGACGAGGAACCCGACGACCAGTGCGAGCAGTGCGAACACGTGAGGCAGGACGAGACTCAGGCTCACGACGCACTGTAAAAGAGTCTGTCTGCTCAGCGTAAGGAGAAGGAGCAGGCACTGGGGAGTCTGGCTGTAACTGTGGCAGCGACTTGCGAGGCGGTGGACTCAGTAAGCTAGGAGGAAGGCCAGTAGAAGACGGGAGACTAAAAACCTGGCGAAGGACCGAGTAAGGTGGTGGCTGAGACGACGGTTGCGGCGGAACGAAAAACGGTCGCCACTGCACAGAGCCTCCAGCACCAGTACCGCCAGACACAGCACCCCCAGAGCCAGCACCTCCAGCTTGAGGGTCAACAGCTCTAGCGCCTCCAGTGCCAGTGCCTCCAGCTCCAGCTCCTCCAGCTCCAACGCCACCTGCGCCATTGTCTCTAGCTCTAGCTCCTCTAGCTCCTCTAGCTCCAGCGCCTCCAGCTCCAATGCCTCCAGTCCCAGCGCCTCCAGCGCCAGGGTCTCCAGCTCCAGCTCTTCCAGCTCCAGCGCCTCCAGCTCGAGCGCCCCCATCACCACGAGCCCCAGCACCTACGGGATCAGCAGCTCCAGTACCCGTGGTACGAGCACCTCTAGGATCAGCAGCTCCAGCACCTCCGGTACCTCCAGCTCTAGCAGGAACTCCAAAACCTCCAAGACTAGTAGCTCCATCACCGCCAGCTCCAGGGCCTCCAGCGGCAGAGGTGCCAGCGCCGGGAGCTCCACTCTGAAGGCGTGTGCGTTGAGCAAACCACTCACACAGCTGCTGCGGTGAGAGAGGCTCTGGTCGGGGAGAAAGTCCTGGCAAGGCATCTGCAGGACCTCCAGAAGAAGCAGTACCCCTAGGCTCAGCACCCCAGACCCCGCACCCTCAGACTCAGCACCCCCAGGCTCTGCACCCTCAGGCCCAGCACCCCCAGGCTCCGCACTCGCAGGCTCAGCACCCCCAGGCTTCGCACCCGCAGGCTCACCACCCCTAGGCTCCGCACGCGCAGGCTCAGTGACGCAGCACCTCCAGACGCAGCACCTCGAGCAGCACCTGAGTCTACAGCGACCTCGACAGGCACAACCCCAGGGAGTGGGTCTACCTGAGACACACCTAAGGGAGCAGGACCCTGGGGGGGGAGGGGGTCTATCGAAGGGGGACCTGGAGCAAGGATGAGCGGCGGGGGTGGGAGAGGGGCAGAGCGGTAGGGGAAGAGACGGTAAAAGGGAACCGACTCGTCAAACGTGACGTCCTTAGAGGGGAAGACACGGCGCGAGGTGGGGTGGTAAAACTGCCAGCCAGGCGCGTCAGGGGGAAAGCCAAGGAAGACGCAAGGAACACCGCGGGCGGAGAGCTTGTCCGCGGACGTA